TTGCGAAAAACCTATAATGATAAAAATAATGTGCACCTTCATGCTGCATTTGGCTCTGAAAAGATAAGAGAGACAAAACAAAGTCTTGCGTGGCTTTGGAACACCTTAAACCGAGATGCCAAAGAGCGAATTCGTACGAAATCCTTCGCGCAGAGTCCGTCGCACGTGCAGCCGGTGAAATTGAACGAAAATTTAATGTTCCTCTATGAGTCTATCTGACTCCCTTTATTTATTTTTTTGACGTTCGAACCCTCTGAAAGATTTAGGGCTGGAATTTCGTATGATATGGGCCTATTTGCCTTCGCCTATCCAAAGCCTCTGCACCTAGAAAACGCCAGATAATTTAATCGATTCCTCTCCTTGCGAAGAATGGAGAAAGGCGAAAAACCCAAGGGCAATGATATTTGCGGAAGGAGGGGGGAGGAATTTTAAAACATGTGCTTAGCAATTCAGAAAAATGGTCAGAACGTGAGACAAAAAAAAACATCAAAGCTTCTTTAATGTTAACCGAAGATTAGAGAAATGTCGTCTAGATGAGATAAAGGGAAAAAAATTCCCAACTCCCTTCTCGCTGGTTTGCAGAGGCGCATCACAATCGCAATGGAGCTGAGGTCACGTACGCACTGGGGTGACGTGACCGTGAATCCAAGCACGAAAACAAACAAAAGAGAATACAATTAAGGGGCTGAAAAACTAGACAGATAGGAAGCGAGAAAATAATCCTAAGCGGCTCTAGTGGAGGGTTAATCTACAGGTATGCATGTAACGCCGAGGATATTCTATTATCAAGAAACGCAAGAATTTAGGTCGAATCTGACTTTCCGAAAGCGCAGATTGAGCCGGCAGAAATACCTTTTGGAATCCATGTGGATGATGAGGAATGCGGAGCACTCACGTGACCGTCACGTAGACGCTTGGGGGCTTGAGCATAGCTTTCACCTAGGCCTATATCGAGATGCTACGGTTGATGCTTCCGTATAAATCATTTGCTTCCTCCACGAAACAACTCGACCGGAAAAGTGAAATGACATCTAAAATGTATGGTATGCGCATAGGGGAGCCGCGACTGCAAGGACAAGGAGAGAAGGATGACCTGTCCAAGAACGAAGTGAAGAGGCGACGATCAAAGGCAGACGTGATGGAATCGGAAAGCAAGGTGAAGGAAGGCCCGCGCTTTCGGGGCTCACACCGAACAAGGCCACTTTCCTCATCCATTTCCTTGAAAGTGAGCATCTGACCGACTTCAAGTTTCGCATCGCATCAAAGCGAAAGTGGGAGGGTTGGATAAGTACTTGGTACAGATGGCCGTGCGGATAGATGTTCCAAAATGTATCGGAAGCTATGAGGAGTCGAGTAATGAACGTAGACGATGTGGTACGTCCAGTATCGTGACCAATAAATTTTCGTTAAAAAATTTTTTTAGTTAAGTCTCTTTAGGCAAGGTTAACTACTCCACAAATAGGCCAACGATTTAACCCTTCCAGTACTGGCGGGACTCAAGAGTTCCGCATTTTCTTCGCATGTTATAGGGCTACACAGGAATGCACGACCTTGAGGTCATGACGGGATTCTGAGTCCCTGTTTATAGTAGTATACCACATGATGACGAGGCAGTCCACAGTAATATAATGCTGCTGTATTTCCTCTGACACTTCAAAAATGGTGTCATATTTATTTCCAAAAAATAAATTTTTTTCCCAGCCAATCTTTTTTTTCTGTTTTTGCAAGCTAGATAATGGAAAGTACGAGTAGTACAGAAATACTCGGAGACATTCGACGTAAAATAGGGATATGAGTACTAGCTGAACTAATTAAATTGCATGCTTTCATTAATTAACTTTATTTATTGAACAAAATATTTAGTTTTATATGAGGAAACCATTTTAAAAACACTTCAGCAATGTGTTTTTTGTTGTCAATTCAATTTTTGGACTTCATTAAAGCCTTGTTGAAGCCCAAAAAAGGAATTGACATTTTTCTATGCCGGGAATATGATTCAGGGCTGAAAGGGTTGAAAAGGGGAGTTGTGCGACGAATGTCGCCCAGACGTAGCTCTGAGATCGAATGTAGGTAAATGGAGTCACGTTTAAAATATTAAATACAAAACGAAATTATTTTCTGAACCGAGAATGAAAGTCTGGCACGCAAGCGTCAGTCCTGGCATGCGAGGCCGATTGGGGACTGGTCTGCTTCGCGAGTCTTCCGCCCCATATTTGTCTCCTCCGGGTTGGAATCCCCCCGCTCCTTGGACGATCACGTCCTTGCGCCGACTGTTTGCCTAATCGGATTAACGGTGTCTCATGTCCTAGCCCTTCCCTAATAAGAGGACCAGAGAACATTCAGAAATCCTTTTGGAACGGTTCCTCGTGGACAGCCCCTGTTGAAAGAGCATAGCCGAATAATTCTGACAAGTTGGCAGTGAACCTCGAGGTGAGTAGCGGAATCCTTTTCTATCCTCACCGCATCCTCTCATATTTCACATGAAATTTCATAGTCTGGACATGGAAAACGAGGTTGCGGATGGAGATGCAGACGGGTGAACACCGTGGTGTTCCGGTCTCCCGTTAAGAATACTTCCCCCCTTCTTTTCTTTTTAATTAGGGATCTGCTCCAAGATATTTCAAGTTCGGGCATTATCTACAGTTGGATGCCACAAGTCTGACACCATGACTGACGCATCTCGTTACTTCATCGTTGCTCCAGAAGAACAAGAATTGCATTGGGGAGGGGGAACGGGACGGGACGAAAGATAAAAGAGGAAATAAGCGAAATCGCCCTTCCGGAATTCCGACCTCATGGAAACAGGATGACCCTGAGAGATGCCTTATCTTTGCGCCCTATAAATGCGCAGATAGATAAGGCACAATAGCAAGTAGGGCAAATCGTACGTAGGTATACAGTGCACCGTACGGCCAAAACTGCCGATCCGAATTGGACGAATTAGGTACAGAAGAGTACTGTTAATGACCTCCAAAAATAATCTTCATGAATGAGACTTACCTCGCCTCATTCGACGGCAATTATGTTACGACGAGATTGCAGCTAGTGGTGACGAAGACTGACCAAATACTGACACGTATTTATCATGTTAAAAAAATTAAAGGTACCGATGGATTTGTCTCGTCTTGGTGGCGCTACTTCATACTACTTCAAGTACTGAAACAAGATCGACAGTCCTGGAAAACCCATTCGATGAAGTTCTGAATCAATCAGCAGAAATGGAGCATTTCTTGATTCGTCTCGGCAAAAGGGGTGTGCCTATGAAAGGTGCCAACGACTGACCAAGAACTAAAAAAGCTGAAAATTACTTCAATGAACTTGTCCCAGTGGATAGAATGGATCAGGCCAACAAAATGAGAAAATATGCGCGCTGACATGTTGCACCAATTACTGAATGGATGTTCGCAAATGGATCATCATTATGAATTGATTCAAGCCCAAGATGCTTCTCTCTGGGAGTATCTGAAGTACTGAATGTCGGGGTGGTTCAGAAGGAGAGAGATACATACACTGTGCATGGAAAGACAGAGGTATGCCATGCTGGTAATTAGTAGTGAGAGTATAAGAAGGAATCCATCGGAGAAGGGTTACACATATGCGGCGATTTGTTGAGAAATTTGGGAGGGCTCAGAGACAGTACTCCATGTATTCCTTATTCTCGTTCTCGCTGCGAGCCACTTCTGCCAAATTTTTGAGGGAGCTCGAGCCCCCTGAATGAATTGCCGCCTATGGGGTTACAACTATGACCGTTGCTAGTAACGAACAATGTATTGGAAAGAAACATGCTCCACTTTACAGCGATGTCGTTCTATGAAGGAAACATTTCCAAAGTAAACAAATAGGCTAGAAAGGTGCAGAAGCGTGAGCCCTACCAATCCATACATTTTTCTAAATAATTTCTGAATTTCCGGATTTAGTGAGATCACCCACCTAGTAAACAAATTTAAATATTTCTGATATTTAAATATTAAATTGAAATATTTAAATTTCTGATTTAAATATTTCTTGAGTCAGAGATCCTGTGTTAAATATAATACCAGACCTTTCTTTTTACAGCTGGGATTTTGCATCTGGCAATGATCCTTGGCATCTTATTTGATTAAAACAGACATGAATGCAATTGACTTATTTCATCTCTAGCTAAAGCACTGACAGTAACTGAATACACAATTTCGGGATTTGAATCTCATGTATTGCACTTCTAAACTTATATTACAACAGCTCAATTGCCCAAATGACAATAAAGACATTAGAAAATCAGAGCTGCAAACCCAACCACATTAACCAGAGATTGGCATGTCAGAAACCAATCCAAATCATGAAGAAATATATTGTAGATTTTCATGAATAAACAAAGCTTTCTCAAATGAATTGCAATAATGAGGGATTTGTATCTTTTGCAGTTAAATAGTGTCCAAGCTCAGCTTGGGCACTCTTTGTTCTCTCTGGATGCAAATTTATGACTTACCTGTGACAAGAAATTATATATGCCTCTGATGTTTTACTTGGCATGACTATCAAAGGCAAAATCACAAAAAGCCAGGAAAGTTTGATCATTTGCAAATGGGGATTTACTCAACTGAAGAGAGTGATGAAAATGATCACTCCTTGTTCTGATAGAATCTACAGCTCTGCAAAAGAATAATCTGACCAAAAAAATATTAGATCTTCCTCTCTCTCTCTTTCAACATGCACAAGGGATTGAATACAATATGGAATGAATGAAGAAAGAAAGGGGGGTGTAGTCCACTGGGGGCTGTTGATTCCAAGCTGGGGAGAGCAATTAGGTCCAGCAGCACAAATACCCACATGGAATCGATTCGCGACTACAATCACAATCAGGCTTATCACATTCCATGCAAGGCTACTCTTGGGGCATGGACAAGAAGCTTCTTCCTATGTTTGGCTTCCTCTCATCTGTCTTCACCTCAACCTGAAGAAGGGAATTCACCTCCTTATAAAACTCTGTCTAAAAGCAGCAAGATGCATTTAGAGAAAATCTAACCTGTTTTTTTCAAGCTTTCATGTCCTCCAAAGTTTCTGATGGCAATCATCAGTTCCTCTCGAGGATCCAGTTTGGGTTGATTCTTGGGAGGAACGATGCGACGACCTCCAGCAGTAACCCGCTTCTGCATAAAAATCGCTGCACCACCCATTGGGGGTGGGGGAGGCACCTCCTTGTTGGCAACAGGAATTGGAAGGCTGCTAGGCTTGGAGACACCATTGGACACTGTGACCACAGAAGTGAACTTGTGTCCATTCTGACTAGACGTATCGGCCGTCTTCCGCACTGGAAGTCGACTGGGACTGTTCCCTTTGTCCTCTTTTGTGATGTTCACTTTTGTGATCTGTAAGGCTTCTCTCTCTCGATCACCTGATGGCCGGCGAGCCAAGTTCAAGATCTGGCTACGTATTACCTCCTCTTCCTGCTCGCTGATAGACTCCTCAGCAACTGTGCCATCATTACGTCCATATGGGATAGCATGTTTCACTTTTGGCACAGGATTTGATTGGGCAGCTTTTTCACGTGACTGCCACCAGTCCATGGCTGATTTTGGCCGACTTGGAATTGTGACCGTTTCAGAACGTGGAGAATCTGAAATGACCCGTTCTGGCTTTGTCGATGTTCTTAAAACTACTGGTTCTGGCTTCGTTGATGCTATTGAAACTACTGGCTCTGACTTTGTCGATGCTGTTGAAACTACTGGTTCAAGTGGAGCTTCAAAGGAACGCAGGATCTCCTGCCTCTTGGAATGATATTCTGCCATGCGGTCCTTAACAGACATTTGTGGTGTATCTATGACTCTTCCACCGCGAGAATAAAGTGGGGGATCAATGATAGTTGATCCCCACATATCCTGGGTGCGGATGGGACGATCTCGAGGTCGTTCACTCCAAGTACTCATGTTGATTGTTGGGGGACCCTTTCATGAGCAAGGCAAGAATTGTAAGTGCCACAAGCAGGAGGGGTTGTGTGATAATAAAGATGTGAAATGTAATCCTCACCTGATAGGAGTAACGCTTGCTGGGCTCCATACGAGCGATGGTGGCTGATTTCTCTCTTAACGTGACCTCAGGAGCATGTTCAGTACCTTGTCTTGGGAGTGTCTGCGCTTTCACTTCTTTGTTCTTTTCTTTTGGTTCTAGGTTAGCTTCCTGATCCTCAGCATTCATGGTGGAATTGTTGATTCTTGGCATGAGGTCTTTGATCATCTGTAAGTCAGGAAAGTACTTACAGACATTATAAATGAGTACATTACAAATTTTTACTTTTATCAGCTGTCTCTATGTTGTCATCTAACATCTAATATCCATCCATGCTTGTGTTAGCTGAAAGTAAGCAAAAGTAAGTGACACTAACTGTAAAAGACTGGAGTGAAGTGGAGCCCTGGGGAGCAAAGTTCTCCAAGATGCTCTGATTATGAATCAGTTGATTTTGCCAATGGTAGCTCTGCTGCTGAAGCTTGATATATTCCTTCTCCATTTCATCATGCTCATCTCCATCTGTTTGCATCCGACAACATCATAACAAACTGAGGCTTCCCTGAAATAAGATCAAAAGATTCACAATCTCACCAGTCCCAGTTGAGACATGAAGGTCACTAGTTGCTCTACGCAGAGAGCTGTCAATGTGATCAGATTCCTTTGATCCATTCTGGGGGTGGACACGGGCACTATCATCCTCTGATGCACTACTCGTACTAAGGTTCTGCATCGAAGTTGCTCGAAATTCACTCAGGCTCCCCCTACTGGTCTTCACCCTGCAACAAGAACATCACCAAAATTAATTCCTCCTTAGCACAAGGAATGACAAAAGGGGCATGGAATCCTACTTGTTTGAAGCCGGTCGGTTGGCTGAGGCAGAGGTCTTGCGGACAATCCAAGGTTTTGTATTATACACACTGATTCCTCCTGTTACAGGAAGAGGCATCTTGAAAGGCCCATTCATCTGAGATGGCTGCTCATCTTCACTGCTCTCACTAATTCCAGCTTGGCCTTTACTCAGTCCAGGCCCTCTTGAGAAAGACTTCGCAGTGAAAGACTCGGCCTTAGACACACCAAGCCTTGGAGTGGACTGATTAGAAGATGACGAGAAAGACTCGGACTTCATCAACTTCCGCTCCTCTGATGAAGAACGCCTTCCATATGTGTCAATCGAGAAGTTAATGGATGGACCAGTCTGGGCAAAGGCATCCTGCTTCCTTGATGCTTCAGTCTCTGGCTTCTTCTTGGGAGGTGAAGACATTGGCAGAGGGGGAGGGGACTGTAAACTGCTGGAATCTGAGCTGGATTTTCGACTGTCACCAAAATCTGATTCCCCATATGATTCTGGTTCCATTCCAGTCTCTGCATCTCTAGTAGACACCTGGAAACTATCCACAGATGTCTCTTCATCATCCTTGAAGGCACTTGGTGGCTCAGGGATCTTGTCCAGGAGCTCCATTGAGCCCTGTGGTGTCCCTTTAAATCCATCAGGGGGCTCTATGGAATCTGGAACTGGAAAATCCTGCAATGGAAAATAACAAAAACATCTACCTGTATGAATCTGCAGTTTTCAAAGAGAGAGCCCAGAAAGGTATTATTCTCCAGGTATTGATGCATACCACAGGAGGTTGCTCTTCATCTGAAGGCAATGATGATGATAATGAAGACAAAGATGCCCTATCATCCTGCTGAGTGACTTCCTCAGGTTCTTGGCTTTTAGCTGCATGCAGTTCTCTTGTCACTACAATTTCTGACTCAACTTGCTTCAGTCTCTCCTCATCTACCCTCCTCTCTTCCTTACTCTTCTCTATGGTATCCCCCATCATTGAGGATACTTCATCTCTCTGATCTTTGCCCTTCACAAGTGGCAGTTCTTCCACCTCCATCTGAAAGAAAGTTTCTCATCAAGATTCTACTAGAATACCAGTGAATGTGATTGGCAAACCAAGTGCCCTAATAATTGTGCCTTGTGGGATAGAAAAAAATCTGATGAAGGATAAAGAGATAGAAAAATCTCACACTGTGATCACTTTCTGCTTGGTCATCCCACCTCTAATCTTTGAGTCATTCCTTCCCATTCACCCTCTCCTTCCCTTCCCCCCCCCCCAACCCTTTCATGTCCTTCTTTTATGAAGTCTTTTTTGCAGATTCAAGAACTAGCACAGCCAGTGATAGCTAGTCTGAAACCCCATTAGAGGACTCCTGCCAATTTCCTGTGACCCCATTGAAAGAAAGGAAAAAAGGAATATCAGCTGCTTTACTTCTTGAGAAGTGAGAGGTTGGTTTTCTTCTTCACTATGGTACTTTTCAGCTATGGCAACAGCTTGGCCAAAGGATTCACTCAAAGTGGAGCCCTCAGACGACAGGCTTGCCTTCCTCTCCTGGACTTCATGATCTAAAAGTAAGACAATAAATTCCATATGATCCTTGCTATAGGATGCAAGAGGCCTTACGAAATTCTTGACTTAGTACAACTACAAACATATCATGCAAACTTGAGGGCATGCATGGTGAAAGAGTCTAACCAAATGTGCACTTCCAGTACAAAAAAGTGAGAAATGAAATACAGGTGCAAAGGAAAAAAGGTATAAGAAAGGTGAGCATGCACCTGAGTCCAGATCAGCAGAGGCTTTGCTGGTGACTGAACGCAAGCGAAGGCCCTTATCTTCCTCATCAAGATCCGACAAGTGGTTCAAGGAATCAACATTCGGCCAGTGTCCCAGGTTCTCCCTTGGCTCTATCATGTCCTCCTTCAAGCTTGAAGAGCTAGACACTTCTCGATGGATCCTGGCAGGCTTTGGAACCTCACGGTCCCTGTTTTTAATTTCCAAAATGGGCGAGCTCTTGATGTCCTTCAATACCTTGAACTCGGAAGATACGTTGGCCTTCCCACTGGATGACTGCATCGATGGAGCCTGACGTGAAGCCCTAAATTCCTCTCGTTTCACCTGGGCTGGTTTTTCACTATCTGCATCCTTGCTCATAGTAGGAGGAACTTTGGGAGCTACCCTCTTTTGATTCCGTTCTGGAACGGTGATTGACTTGCGGGATTCAAACAATCGCATGTCTAACTCTAAGTCATCCTCTCCCAAACTTGGAAGATGTGGGACATGCGGTGCAGGTTCCTCATGTTTCTTGCTATCAGTTTTGGGCTTCTTTAGTCTATGCCCAAGCTTTGACAGAGTTCCCCTGAAGCCACTCTTCCGTTTCTTATCTTCCTGTTCCGCCTCTTTTTCGTTTGCTACACCCAAGCCGTCACGGTCGTGATGGAAACTTGGAAAATTGCTTTCCGAGTCCACACTGATTTGACTGAGCGCAATACTATCTGCAGAGTCTACACTGGCTTGGGACAATATTCTTTGTGGGACCTGTGCAGGCGGTTGCACGGATATTTTGGCATTTGGTCTACTGTCAACCTTCTTCACAGAACTCGAGCCACTACCACCACCACGAGACAGGAGGTTTTCCACTGTCTGCTTACGAGGTTTTGGGACTACAGGGTTGAAGAGCATGCAAAAAAAGAGGAGACAGATATGAATCACTATACTGTATGACAATAGGTGAAGAAGATAAAGAACTGCGTGGGTAAAGGTAAAGGTAAGATGAGACATGGGGAAAACAGATAGAAACACTTAGTGAAACCGCTCCTCACAAAAATCGTGGAAAAAAAGACTTATTTTTCCCATGCAGGGAAGATAGCATGCATGAACGGACCAAATAATAAAACCGAACACCTGACTTGAACGCCTGACCCTAAAACAGATGGAATGGTGAACTCACTTGGATGTCGAAAACGCTGCCCGTTGGGAAGATCTTCACTGTGAGTAGGTGATGAAACACCACTTACAGTGGAGCTGTGATCGGAGGAAAGACTGGGCGATACGGACACATTCCCGTTCCCAGCCTCTACCTCTGTTTCCACAGTCAACATTTTCACTTTCTCTACCGTCTCAATTTGCACCGGATCCGGGAGTTTCTCCAGCTGGAAATTCCAGTACAGTATTAATGAAAACTCTCTCACTTCATTACTTAGCAGTCTTAAATTCTGTGTCTCCCACCTTGGTTTCCCTCTCGATCGAAATAGACTCCATGCCATTGGCACTGCTTGAGCTGCTTTGTCTTCTTACAGTAGACTTCTGGGCAATAGGGGCTTCATGTCCATCTCCATTCATGGCCTCCATGGCATCTCCAGACTCTTCCTTGATAGCTTGCGTTGGTGGGGCTGGGGCCCTTCGCTTCTTCCCTGTCGTTGATGCAATTGACAAATTCGAAGTGCTGTTGATTGTCGTCAGGTTTGTGAGGCTGGAGAAACTCGTCACTTTCCCGTCTCGCGTCGGAGTTGAAGTCTTGGGCTTCCCTTCTGTTGCCTCTCCCTCACTAGATGTATATTTCAGATGTTATTCTGAAGCTATGATTTTCCTTATCACAAAAATTCTCAATGTATCCCATTCAATTTTTTTCAGGGATGAAAATTTATTTCCAATATCTTATTACATTTAAAACTTAATTTTCGGCTGCAAGCATAACAAAATGTATCGGTGTCATTTAAAAAAAGCCTAATTCCAACATGTGACCACACTTACTCATGCTTCCCATTAACATGTTTCTCGGAGAAACCTGAAGATGCATCAGATGCTCCTCTGGAAAGGGTGGTACTCTGCACATAAAAGTTCATTCCAAGTTGTGAGGGTCATCATTCCTTAAACAATTGCTGAATAGCACAGAATAGGCTCCGAGCTTCTCTCACCTGTCCATTGGTAGCGGGGGGTTTGGGTGCAGGTCTCTTGCGAACCCTGGGAGGAGGCTTGGGAAAGATGGGAGCGGATGTGGAGGGTGGAGAGACACTTCGAGTCAGGGATTCGTCGGATCGGGTCGGGGATAGCCCGGGGCTGCTTCGATCCCCCAGGCTGTCACTACTTGCGCTCGAATCTCCCATGCTCTGTATTTCGACACAGTTCGATCATTTATCAATCCAATCTCCATCCTTGTTCCTTGATTCCCACATAATAATTTATACATCAGTCTATTCATGCATATGGTTCTGAATTGCAGCCATTAACACCAGATCTAGGATCGCAATGAATTACCATATTTCATACCACCAGCGTTATTATTATTATTTCCTCGGTTACACTTACTTTGCCGTTCGTCCGTTTCACAATGGATGTAGCCCATTATGCATTGTAACGAACTCGAATCTCATAAATCGGTGAAGTGCATGCTCAGCTGTGCGAACATATCGGGAAAACTGTCTCCAAGCAGAACGTATCTATTGCCTGTAACACATTCCAACCCCGAGAAAAGTTCCCTTCAGGAAGGTGAGCATGTATCAGCATCAACGAAGGAAGGCCCGCTCCTCAAGTTCTTCTACCTCTGTCAAGCAGGAAGAATTACGAAGGCCGAAGCCTCTACTCAATGAATCGTAAGAAAGCAAGACTGGAACTATTCAAAGGGAAAGGGAGAACCCCTCTCCTGTTCCAGGAAGGAGATGGAGAGATTATACAGACAGGCTCATTGACTTTCTGGTCAGTGAAGGAGGATGGAAAAATAACAGGAAGGAATTCCTAGCAGGTCGAAGGTGCAAGGCATATAAAACCAGCCGGTGCTTAAGGTATTTCCGAAGGCCCCCGAGGCTGGAAAAACGAGGTAGAGAGAGAGTGCAAGAGAGAGATAGAGAAACGAGAGGCAAGTCTAGTCAGTTTGTTGCATCCTGTGATGTAATTAAGCTCACTGCCTTCTGGGCATTCCGACATAACAGGGAAAGTCATTCACATCGCCAGGCACTTCGTTCCTAATCATCCTCAGCAGCAAAAAATTGATGCCTCTAGGGTCCAGGCAGAGGAGACCTCGACATTTCTCCCTAATAGATTACATGGGAGTTCTCCAATTACTGTTCGGTTCCCTCCTTCCCTCTTGTTTGGTGTGATGGATTCCTTTCTCGTTCTTTTTCAAATGGGGTTCTACGAGTATATTGTTGCCTCATCTGTTGCGGCGACTGGCGCCACGCCCGATCGACGAAACGAGTTTCGCCAGAATAAATGGAAGCAACTCTTTTAATTGCACTTAATTGAGGGCCCTTCACACCTCGTTCATTCCATTCAGCCCACGACTAAAGAAAGAAAAAAAAGAGCAGGGAGGATATGATGAAGCGTCTGTGGCCATTTTGGTTTACAGACGTGCAGGGAATAGGAAATGAGAGAATGTTTAAAAAAAAAAGGAGGATATCGTGAGGCGCATCTTCAAACACGACTCAGGTTTGCCGAAGATTCAAAAAACTCGGAGAAAGTTTGACTCCTGTTTGCGGTAACAGGGGCAGGATAAATATTGAGGCTGAAGAACACCTTAAAAGACTCAGTGAAGTGGAACAGGGGAGGAATGAGGGCCTTTATAAGGATTCAACCGATCGACATCAATTTTCCACAGAGATCTCTACTATCTTGCTTGCGTAAGCAGCTTTCCAAACCGCATGACTTATGAATAAACTTAATCAAGGATGCAGGCTTACTAGGAATGACCAGTCGCCTCAAGAAGGGGAGATTTCTCAACACGGGGATAAATGCGTAGCGATCTTCACGCATTTTCAAACAACGGAGTTCGATAGGAATATGTTTCATCACAAACGCAAGAGAAAAACACGAGAAGAATTGCGAAAAATAAAGGAAAATGAAAAGACGGAAAACTATAATAAATATTAAAAACTACCAAGTTAAATAGAAAAATTAATGAACAATAATATAACAAATTTTAAAATAATAAATTAGTAAAAATATACGAACAAATGAAATACTGTACAGCATATGGACATAGGATCTCTATGAGTTTCCGGTTTGATAAGGAGGAAAGAGTTTCAGGAAGTAGGATGTTAATCAATGTGGAACACTGGGTGTGAATTTCAACACTTCAGGCACCCCTTGCATATTCTACGGGGTATGAAAAAGAACACCCTGACTTTTAACTTTAATATCTATTCATAACCGAAGCTATTTTTGTAGGGAAACTTGCACTGTGCAAGGACTGGTGCGTTTCCAACACCGCTGTGAAAGTTCGTGCAAATTCGTTTCACATAAGCTAGACATTATGCGAATATCCAAAAGAAATCATGAATTTAAAATAGACGGCGGACTCCAGTTCCTGTAAAGCAACAAGACTCCTTCCAGCACTAAACTTTTAACCAATCTTTGCTATAAATAGTGCTATTTTTTTATTACGAAATTTGCTCTGTGAATAGGCTGATGTGTCCTGCAATAAAAACACACAAAAAAACTTAAATTCACAAACCCAAAGCAAAGCAATCGTTCAAAGTTAGTTTGATATTTAAAATGGATAGGAACCCGAGCCATAGGTCGAGCTCATGAACGATTCGTCTCCACAACGTGGCTGTACATTATTCGCACCATAATTCGTCATATCGAACATTCCTACCACAGAACTTCAGTCTTTTGGGCTGGATTTTTGCAGCAGATGGTTTTGATGTGCCTTCTAATTTATCCATGGGTATCAACGGAGAGATATTGTGTTAACTTTTTTCGGATTTTCCCCCAAATTGCGTTGGAAGAAGTAGGTTGGAGGAAGGTGCCTTGGTGCTGTACAGGGTGGAACTGGAGTCCCCAGTCCCTTTTCTAGTTCCAATTCCCTTTGAGCATTCGCTCACAGCCTTGCTTCCGCGAACAACTTCTCATTAAATATGATGATGCTGGAAACACCAGTTCATACTGTGTGCTAGTTAAAACGTGAGAATGAAAATAATAAAATACATAAATTAAATTAAATAAAGCTTCAGTAAGAACAGAGATTTAAAGGCTAAAAGTGGGTGGGTCTTTTTGTCATACCCCTTAGATTTATTCAGAGAACCTGAGAGTAAAATTGAACAAAATGGCCTATTAAAACTATCTTAACTAGACTGTCGGAGCCAATATTTCACAAAATGTGACAAGTTCAGAGCAAAGGGGATCACTCTCTTCAAGTGTAGGCATTTTTTTCATACCACTCAATTCGTCAAATGTCAATTTGTTACGCCACCAAGCACTCAGACCAAGAAATAAACCTGGAAATAGCAGGGAGCGTCAGGAAAAGATGACTCAGGGTTCTCATAAGCCTACTTCTGCACCTGAAATTCTCTTTCGCATGAGGTCGGAAAATTTTAAATCACTTCTCGCACACCTCGTAAATAAGTAAATTTCCTTATGAATTTCAATTTCAAGCATGAGACTGGACATGAAGGACATACGGATTTGCTTTTGCGATAGTTGAATCCCTTTTGATTAGGTCCGATGGGATCGTCGGAGGATCGGTGCATGGCCAAGATGTCAGCCGAGGAGAGAATGGATCCGTGGTGATTTCCCTTGTTCGCCACCACGACGCTCACTTCCGAGATCTGATACTCAGAGATGCTCCGGCTCAACTGCAACCGCTCGTTCAGGTTGCCTGCGAAATAAGAACAATATCAAAAGGTGAGAACAAAAATTCAAGAAAAAGTTTCAGTCGCGCCACTTTCTCCGCCCTGGTGAATCAGAAACGGCAACATCTGTCCTCCTCAAGTTCACGAAACCGTGAAAGCTCATGATGATCCTAAATCGGGTGGAGGTCATACGGTTGGCTTTCAACGGGGTGTGGTTCAGTCCCAAGGCCAGACATTTATTATTGCTTCCTTCATCCACGCTATTTCCTTCATCTTCAAGTACGGTAGTTTTCTTGGTATTGCCATGAACTCTTCGCAAGGTGCTAACGGTCTCGCGGACGGATGGGAAGATGAACCCGAGAAACCGTGAAAATATAGCGGATGATGGTCAGTCCACTCTTCGATATCATACCACCTTGATTACCACGAAGTAGAAGTAATGGAGAGAAAAAAAAAGTCATTTTCAGAAAATGGCGTTCAACAGGATGACGACAAAAAAAGAGGGCGTCAATATTTGTGCGCAAGGAGGCCTTTTCTCTCTTGTGCTGTGGGAGAAAGTGCTGCCAATCTGCGGTCGGCTCCGTTCCTTTTTCATGTCTCACTGAGAGTCTCCCTTTTATTTTACACAGGAGAGGAAAGGAAGAGACATGGTGAAGAAAGAAAGGGTTTTTAGGGGGGATGAGGCTCCCCATTCTCCCACGGTTGCATTAAACCATTTCACATAAATCACGCAACTGACATGGGAAACCGGCCTGGTCCAGGTGTTTTATCCAGAGTGTGAAATCCCAGAGAGCATTTAGAAACGAAAGCACGGCCTCCTGGTCATTTAATTATTAGGCTACCAGCAGAGATTGAGACAGCATGAAGTCAATTTTCAATTGTTGTTGATAGTTGTACTGGTGAGGAACGACCGGAATAGTATGCTTCTAGAGCACTGACCACGTGAAAAATCTTACTTGATGTACCTCGATCCCAACAGATGGACAGGGTCATCTGTAGTCAATGAAGGGAGCCTATGCAGAGAGGTTACCTTCCGGCAAGGGAGGGAGAATGCGGAGGAAGCAAACAACATAAATTTCCGATGGAATCAATGACCTGTTTATCCTCCCCTCCCCCCTCTCAAATAGCGGTTTCTGCCTCTGCGTTTCTTCTTGGCAACATCAGGGCCTGAGAATCGCCTATTAAGCAGCAACCTACGTGCCTGAAGTCTGGACCTCGTTTAGGGCCGGCACTGTAGGAACGACAGAAAGTCTCGAACTATATTTGCAGTGAATTCCAATGAATGCACAGGTTCAGCCCTACATTTCATAACCAGGTTCCAATGAAGCCAGTCAAGGCCCATTAGTAACACTGTGGTACAGGTACTTGGTTTTCTGCCAATGACAAGTAAAGTCATTTGATTCGCAATCACCAAATTATCAGGAAAACATATGCTAATGTGGCACGAAATCCAAGGTTCTAAGAACGGCTAAAAACTACCCTGTACATCTGATAGCCCCATCATGCATCAAGTGCATTACAGTATTCCCAACATTAAAAAAGTGTGAACGATCCGAGTGTAGTGTACTCCATCGCATGCACCAGTATCGTGCAAGCCCTATCTAAATGAAATTGGCAGTAGATACTATGTCTTCTTTTTTTCCTAGGAACCAAGATTCATCCTCACTTTTCGTGCATCTGCTGTTTTAATGAACAGGGTGTGACTGAAGTCCTTCTCCATAGAGATTGCGCTCACAGTTTGAGAACCAGTGGTACCCTTTCCATTGCCACAGAACTTAAGTTGCGCCCTGTCCTGACTTCCCATTTGTCCATTACTTCCACCTGAGGATATGTTCAGGTAATTAGTGACGGAACAGAACGCTCAACTGTCTTCTGAACCGTCCGATTGCTTTCATTTTTACATGGCTCTTTTTAGCGGTGATCTATTAAAAAGGGAAGTCAGGAAAAAATTCTTGAAAATGTCAAAGCCCTCTATTAAGGAGGGAAGGGGCGACGACCTGTTCAATTCAGCTAAGGAGTGCTCTCATAAACTTCACAAACATTTGCGGACGTCGTTCTGCTGAGCGCTCCTTAACTCAACGCACCAAATGTGTGCGAGGTCAAGCGACGCCTTTGGAGAGCAGAGGGTACAGCCACGATCCTCACGCTCTACGGGCGACAAGCCGGGCCATACCCTCCATGCAAAATTTCTTCGCGCCAGACAAAATAATTACATGTTCCTCCCCTGCATCTTGCCTTCTTGTACATGACCAATGAGGACATTTCCGCATCACATGATATGCCGGGGAAGACGGATTCGATGCAGGGAAGTCATCGGCTGACCCCCTGATCTTAGACCTCCGATCTTTCCACACTTCATCCATCATCTCCTACTTGTCCACTTATGTCTTCAGGGTCTCGTTTTCAGACATTTTCTCTCTTCGTGTGAGGGAGAATCCACTCGAATGACTGAGCCTGAGATAGGAAGGGAATTCCAAAGTGCGTACTTCCTTCGTAATCTCTCCCAGTTGCACAACACAGGTCGACGTCTGTCCCGATAAAGATAAAATCGACGACTACAGCACAGTAAAACAATCACTTACTGGTGAAGCGGGACCACGTACGATAGATGTCCCGTCTCCAGCCCATTTTTCTTCTTTTCCTATTTATCCCGCGAGGATTTAATGGTAATGTTGATAGGATCACATGACCACAGGATGACACAATAAAGACTAAAAAATGGAATGAAAGCAGCCGGACTCCCAACAACCAGCTGCTTCCCAACGAACCAGTGGTTCAAGACTGGCTAGGAAAGAGCCTTGAGAGGCCTTTTCCTACCCTATAGACTCATAGAGAGAGCGAGAGAGAGAGATGTCTGTGAGAGTGTGTGTGTGTGTGTGTGTGTGTGTGTGCCCCGAGGAGAAAAACTGGGAGGAAGGTCGGGGCTATCCTCTATTCTTCACCGTTAGGATCCAAAACGACATTCCCCTCATTTCCTGCCTCTAATCACCTTCACCACACCCTCCTTTTTTTCTCTCCCCGCCGACGAATTAAAAACGACGAGCAAGTCTTCCCCTTTCCCTCAGTGAAGGAAGGGAAACTAGTACAAGGGAAATCTAGTCTAAGGGAATTCTGGATCAGAGCAAACTCTCAGACAAGACAGGAAGCGCCGACAAAAGACGCGGAAGGCGGAGAATAAAATTGTAAAAGGCACCCGTAGACACAGGAAAAGCCCGGAAGTATTTTGTTAACTCCTCTATCATCAATTATAATTAATTAGGGAGGAGGTTCGTCGACCTTAATTGGTGATGCCACACGCGCCATTGTGTGCCAGACACGTGTCTCGTACGTTGAAAAGAATTTTTTCTTTTTCCTATAGTACATAGAGCACTCTACTTCATGAATGGTGTTCTCAACATGATTCAGCAAATCCAGGTCCGAGGTTCACCCCAGTATTTGTTTTCATCAATGCACACGTTTCAAGGTTGAGGTTTCCCATCACGTTTTCTTAAGGAATTCACCGAGCAGGAAAGGAATTTCCTACGTCCAAGGCCGCACTTACCAACCCTTCATTAATTTTATGAGGCATAACTCATTGGAGATATCCCACCCAGAATTCCAGCGGTACAAAACGGTCAGTCTTTGCTTGCCTTCATGAGATGGGTTTTCACTAACAAAGATTCAACTCCATTATTTTGGGGGGAAGGAACACATACAAGTAATTCGTTCATAATGAAGAAGCGGCTTTGGAACCCAATGTAACGAATTAATTTATTTTAAAATCGCAATTAAAACTTTAATCAATTAATCTGCGGAGTAATCCAATCGAATCGGTAGCCCTACTTTTTTCTTTTTTAGAACCCGGAGGCAATACTGTGAATCCTTCCATGGAAAAAAAAAAGAGCAGAATCGGGGTCTTTTTCACGCTTGGTGGCACCCGCTCCTTGCTTTGCACGTGGACATAGCTACAGCTCACAATAGGAGAAACTCGATAGAGAAAGAAAGGGTGAACAAAAAAAAGGGTCTGCTTTAGATGGGATCGACCTCGACATGGATGAAAGTGGGACTCTGTCAGAGAAGCGTCATTTGTCTGCATTCCAGCCAATCGGATCTATTCTCCAGTACGTATATACTGTGTGCAGTACAGAGAGAAAAATTGCAAGATGGCAATAAAGGTCGGATGAAAAGGGCTTTGAAAGAACGGAGGTCAACGGGGTTTGGAAACAGCCCGTCTCTCTCTCTCCTTTTCCTTTCACCAATTTACCACGAAATCAAGAATTTACGACCTGCGAAGAAATTCACGTAATTCATTCAAGAACGAGGGAAGTATTTTATGAAGCATTCAATCCAAACAAAGAAATGACGTAGGTAATAAAAAACGGTTGGAATACGGATCACCTTGGAGGGGAGGAAATAGTTCCCCTCCAAGTGATATCACGCGATAGGCGATTGAGGCAGGGTGTGGCAATCATCATGATGAGGCGGATTCTGTCTTCCAATGCCCAGGCATTGATTCTGTGCACGACTAGTACCGAGATTTCAACTGCCATGTCAATAAAAATAAATAAATCGTATCCCCGCCATGAGTCACTTTCTCCCAAAATAGCCAGTGCGCGATTACAACTGTCATGTCAATAATAATTAAAAAAACTGTTTCCACCATGAGTTGCTCTCTCCTAAATATCTGCGCAAGTCACTTAAATATGCGTATAATAAAAAATGAGATTGCATTGAACACCATAAAGGAGGGTAATAGGCAAGAAGAGCGATAGAACGAGCTCTCGTTGTATCTCTCTGTGGACTGCGGCTTCCTTGGCCCCACAACCGGTACGAGGAAAGGTCAAAAGCTGCGGGAATTCAACTCCAATTCCATTCGCATTCCGACTGAGTTGCGACATGAAAATGTCTCAATCTCGAAGAAAATGTTCCTTATCATCAAAGCAGAACAAGCGTGTTGTCATTAATACGGATTTTCCCACTGATGACTTCTAATAGGCAAGACTTAATGGTTTGTTTGGGAAAGATAGCTTTCCTTTTCACTGCAGGCTATTCACAATAGGAGGGGGAAAAAATTAAACCGGGAGTGATAACAAGATCAACTTGATATGAACCTGTCAAGAAGCCTGTGAGTTATAGGTCAGGCAAAGTATTTTGATTTTGAATTCATTCTAGACTCCTCATCAAGGTATGCAAGGAAGAGGAGGACGAGAATAAACCATGTTGAAACAGGAGTGGCTTTCCAGCCCCGGTATCTTCATGAATATTCAACAACTCCTTTTCATATAAAGTACCCAGAGCATAAAAGAGGCGAGTGATGTTACTCACGTGGATGACGGAGTTCGTATTTTCTGGGATCCAAGGACTTTTCTTCGCAGACGTGTCGGAGGACTTCTGCCAACGCAGTTCGGGGATTCACCCGCAGGAATGTCAACTGATTCCGCGGCAGATTCACCTGCAACGTGCAAATTCAAGCCCAGTCCTTAAAAATTTAGCCATACCCGTCGGGTAAGCAATGGGCAGAAGGCGACGAAAAGGGAGCAAGTGACACGTCTCCGGATTCCGTGGAAGGCAGAGCGAAGACGACCTCGTGCCTACGTGATCGATCTCTCTTCACTTCGACCATGGCGGAATGGAAATCTTATAGGTTTAACATACAGTTACATATGGATGACTTCTACTGCGTCTCCCTTCACCGCGTGGATCCGGTTGTTGGATCAGCCAGGCACGTTTTCTCCTGGCGCAAGAGGAGATGACGATGTTTCGCACTCCTTCGGGCGACCAAATATGCGGTTCCGCTTAGCACCGGACCAAAAACTAGGCTCTATGAACCGGTTTGAACAACTTCGGTACCCATCGCCTCGAAGAATAATGGTGTCATTCAGGTACCTGACTGACAGTTACATAGACACTATCTCATTTTTCTTACAGCTTATAAAAAAAAAACCTTGCTTAATTTATTCGAGTCACGCCCTGCAAAGCAACTTGTCAGTCTACAGTGATATTTGCCAATTACAAATCATCTTACGGGGTCAGTCAAAAAGTTTCAGGAACAACCATATTCGTTACACGAGGCAAATGGTCACTGCATTATAAATATTATTTACGTGTTCTTGTTATTTATGGGCCTATCCAAAGCGTCGGACGTGAAGTCCAGAGTAATATATTCGGTACACAAATTATATTTCACAATATTCCAAATGACAATTCAAAATATAAAAGCTGTAACATTTAGCCTTAGGCAGTGACTAAAAATTCCATTATCCGAAGCCCTGTATACTCTGTTGCTAAAGGTGTATTAGTGCGTGAAGGAAAGTGTCAGACGTGACATTTCATGAAACTCAAATGTTAAAGTCATTTGCTCTAGGGGTCAAATTTCTGCGATGCATGGAAACCACCAATTTAGAACTATGTTTATTACATAGATGAAATGAAAGCCTAAAATTAGTAGACTGTAGAAGTCATACTTTGATTACAGTACCAGGAAGAAAAAGAAAGTAGTTTGTGACTGTGCCAGATGCGACACGAAAGTATTGAATGCGTCATGTTCTTGATGTTCATTAGAAAACGAAATTCTCTGTTTCTTTTAAGTTCAGCTGAGAATACCATTCAAATGTGAACAATAGAAATCTCTTCACACTTTATGAGGGAATTTGAGGTCATCACTCAACACGGGAGAACCCATGCTGGGATCTATTTCAATAATCATATTCAATCTTTCCAGATTTGCATTTTCATCATATTAATTAGTATTGCGTGAGTGGCACTAATATGGGGCAAAAACGACTAGTCCTTCCGGTTTTTAAAATAATACCCTCATTCATTCATGTCTTCGGGGACCAGAAAATTATGAACCTTGGTAAAGAAAGCAATATCCGCAAATTTAGCAGAATTTCATGCTAAGGCCCTCCTGGCCACTAGGGTGTGGACAGACAAAAAATTATCAAAAATTTTTTTAATGAACTTTTCTTGAGAGATGAAATTTTAAAATGATCTATACTACAACCACTGATGGAAAACTACCAATTCTCTGACTTTGAAGTTCGCATTTACATCAATGAGTGCTTCTTGCTCAACTGTTTATCAAAGAAAGTCCTAAAATGCTTAAAGTCATTCCCTAGGAAATGACCCAAGCTCGGGTTGCCCAGCGACAGGAGCCCTCAAAGAAGATACAATGAGTATAGTGGACCTCTTGGGAGAGAACTGAAGGTGAACAACAGCAGGTACAGCTTAAGTTGACCGATCCCATGGTGCAAACCCTGCTACTCCCAATAAATAGTAGCGCATTGTAAGAGATTCCCGCGTTGGATTCCGCATGCTCTTGCACACTTGCAACACTACCTTCACAGAAGGTAGAGCTAAAGGATACATCAGCGTCTCTGTTGCGAAAGGTTAAAGCCTGGAGACGTAAGGTCCAAGGAATACTTAATTGAACCAGGTGATGAGACTTCGATGGAGCTTTTTAAGCCTGCATGCAAACTGCACAAAATGGCATGGGTGGCAGAACAGGAAGCTCGTCCAAGTGTTGCAGGGAGGAGTTCGGGAAAAGTTATGCATAGCGTATAAGTTTGAGCCAGTGTTCGGAAAATAGAGATAAAGAAGACAATGTCGAGAAGCCCGCCAGTCAAAGGGAACAGCCGCTGATTAATGGTCACGCAGGAGGGCAAAAGGGAATGATAACTAGAGTCTCTCTTACAAGTTGAGAAATCTAATGATATCTTCATAAGCATCAGTAACAGATAGAGATTCCTCTCTTTCCCCTTGCGAGTGATGATGTGCCCGGAGGCCCCTCAAATTGAATGACGCCCCAATCCCTTCAGGCGTCTTCTATTCATTCATATGCCGTTAGCGCAGGACCGCAGAGATCCCATAACTCCAGGTTCGAACGGATACATCACATTCTTCACTGCGCAGGGCAAGATGTGCCAAAGAGAGCAACTAGGCTCTTCTACGCCAAGGTCATTGAAACTTTCCAGAAGCTACGACCAGGAATCCCTCCGCATCGGTCCGTCACTGCTGTCGATTTCCAAGAGCAGGAATATTTCACACCGATACCGCAAATCCCCCTGATCATCTAACTTGGCTCTCCAATGTGATTTGGCTGTTTCTGTTATTGAAGGTCATCTTTCCCAGGAGATGCTACGATACCCAACATGCTCTGGGATCACTTATTCTCCAGTTTCTGAAAGACATCCCGGAAGAGGACTGAGCAGCCTGCTTGAACCCCTCAAAGCCGGTTATTGTTCTGCATGCAACCCATCCCAAGGAGGTGGTTTCTTCCTGACATTTAACTGTGCATGCACACGGGGAAAAAAAGAAGAATAAAAACTCTCATTCATGAGCCTAATAGCCTGAAATTGTTAACAGTGACAGCGAATACGTACTCGGGATACCGGCTTGAAGGGTTAAGAAGTGGGAGGAACCGGCTGTAAATGTGAATTGAGTTAGACGGATGTTATGTTGAAAAGTCCCAATAACTCTCGTTTCCAGAGCAGAGATGAAAATCTGAGTATATTTTCTTGAAACTTATTGACTGCCTCTCGTAACACAAACCAACCGTCGATGTCCAGATCCGGAATGAATCACTGAATCCACGTACCACTAAGTAAAGGAAAAACCTAATAAAGCTTACACAAGCAAATGTGCTCATTCTCTCTCTTCCATTCCTCGAAAGACAGGCTCACATTATGCCAAATACCGGGCTGTGTCAAGTGAGAAGCATCCAATTATAATAGGGTGCAACTCCTCACGTGATACCTGACGATACGCATAGGAACCCGTGCCACAAGTCATTTCCGTTAGTCAAATTGCAGGCCAAGGCATGACCATCACAATTTCGCCAACACTTCTGGGTCCTTCGGCGAGGAGAAGCAGCTTCGTTTTGGACACAAGCCTTAGCTGCTGATGCAGGCTGACGCATGCATTGCGAGTGAGACATCAGTATAAGTGTATAAAATATGACAGAATGATTAATTTTAGTGGGGAATGTGGCCAAGTGACTGAAAATTTCATATCTAAGGTCGAAGAGAGATAAGACAGAGAAGTCGCCTTGCTCCACTTTTGCGATCCAGCGCTTCCATCTCGTGTAATGGCATGATAGTAAGCTGCGTAGGAACTTGCCTGAAGACGGATTGTCTTCTCGAACGGCTGTCCGTTGACTTTCTCCGGCTTTTTCACGGCCGGGTCAAGGATGCTGTTCTTAGGAACGATGTGGATGGTTGACGTCTCCAACGCACCTACCGATCGCATGGAAGAAAGAAAAAAGATTATTTTTAAACTTTTGAAAATAACTCGTAGGCAATATCACAAATATTCAAGTTTCAGGGTCACATGAAATTCAATAAAAAACATAACATGCCGCGCCCTCGGCAAAGCCAAGGAAATGCGAGAATTATCTCGGTGCGAAATTATGCAAATAGAGCCGCTGTATCACATTCAGGGCTTCGCGTCACACACACACACAGGGCTTCGCACCGGAGTCACAGAGACAAGGAAGTAAAGAAAAAGATCACGGTGGGAAGCCTTATCGAGTGCATTCCAAAGCACTCTCCAGGTGAAAAGACAAAGCTTTTCATTTATCAGGAAGCCAGAGGGAGAGCTTCGGCTTTATACTTCACGTACATACGACGCCATAGAGCATGGGAAAGAATGAAGAAAAAAATCTAGGACGAACAGCAGGTTATCTAAATAGGAACCGATCGGGGGGCGAAGGACTCCAACCTCGACGAAACACTTGAAAAAGCTCTTAGAAACACGGGATGCATATCTGAACGGAACCATCGAGGATGGATATCGAATAAAAAGACAAACATCGGCAGGATAAGCTGAGTCAAACAAGCCCTGAGGGGATCAAACGAGGAATTGAAAAAAAAAAAAAGACGGATGAGGTCGATCTGACCTTCGGTTCGGTCCGAGGTCAAAACATGAGTCGGCGAATTCTCACTCGCGTCCATCCTATCTCCTTTCTCCTTTCCGCACTCCATGGAAAAATCAAGACCGGATAATAATAAAGTCTGAAACTCAAAGGATGAACGTGCTTGTACTGAAGTCAAACAACGGCTGGTATGCGCCGAGTCGATCTAATCTAGTTTCGCAATCAATCGCTACGGAAACTTATTTACCTAGATTAATTCGATTCCCACGAGTTCAATTATTAAATTCGATTAGAATTGTTCTGGTGCTTGATTGACTGCCATCGCAATCTATATATTCTAGGAATATTTTTAAAAGTTCAAAAGAGACAAACTAATGCTTTCACTTCCTTCCTTCTAAGACACATCTCAAGTAACAAATAGAACTAAGTCTTAAAATACACTATGTGAGGCTGTTCACAGCTGCAGAGGACATCACAACAGCGCAAATCCCGGTATGCCGAAAACTCGAGAACTCTGAGAACGTCGCCATCCACCGGAAGACATCATGATTCACAGGAATGCGGGGGATCCATATAAATCGATAAGGACATCGATTGCTGGGAGAACCAGCAACAGGATATAAGGTGAGATCGCACAACTAAGGACAAGCTTCGAGAAATCCACCCTGTCATCAAACCTGCATGCTATTTCGCTGATAAGAAATTATTCCCAGATAAGGCTGTCTCCATCGGTGATCTACATGCGGGCAAAGAATAAGCAGAACGGTCCTATCACAGAAATTCCCAGAGACCGATCACATTTTCATAAAATCATAAATCAAAAACAGGAAAATTCCAGTTCCAGTTCCTATTCTTCTTCCCCCCGCGTATCAACACGAAGAGGGTGTTTCGGTGGAAGTCGTGAGAAGGCATGAGATGATAGAGTTCCCCTTATCGCAAAACTGAATTTTTTATTTCCTATCCATTCTCATCATGTTGGTGACTGCCACGACTCAGACACGAGTACGGCCGCAAGAAGTTCATCGGAGTCCAAGAATGAGGAGTTATTCCACCCAGGGAATTTCTTTTTATTCTCCCCCCTTCCTCGCGTCATTTCCTGGCTCCCATGGCATTTACATGAAGGCGGAATAATAGCAATCAAGGAAGAGTGGGGAAGTCAGATGACATCGGCCCCGTCCGTGATTGTGGAAGCAGACCCCCAGGCTATGTCCAATAAGCCCAGACGTTCCTGCAGATATCTATGTATCCTTTTAACCAACCCGTTTCTGCTTTCACCGAGCTTCCTCGTCAGTAGATCATATCCATTAGGCATGACTGCCTGTCTGGCATCTACGTCTTCCGCGTCTTTCTTTTTTTTTTATTTTTAATGCAGTCTTGCCATGTAGTGAAATGGAATGAATCATCTTCAACCTTCATTGGAGGAAGGGGTCTACTGTAATACACGATTATGGCCCATTGTCCGTGGCTTACTCTTCCGTATTTCAGCTGTGGCTACATCCAAGCCCATTGTGAATAAATGTCCATTTGAATAATGATATGGCGGGTAGGAAAACTCACATAATGGAAGACACCGAAGTCTGAATAGAAGTCACGCGGCAAATGGGAAACGAGGGGAAAATGGAGGGGAAGAGACCGTATCATCAGTCTGCTCCGTGCGCGTGGCCTCCCAACTAATTTTTTTTTTTACGATCCGCCAAGGTCCCCCCGCGCAGCAAGCCACATGCGGTGACGATACCAACAAGCTATGACTTCCGGCAGGATATCCAACACAATCGCGATTGGAATACCTGGATGTGGTATTCAACTGCATTCTTCCGTTATACTCTCCCTCTTGCACAATCCCTCCACTTAAGGCCTCTATCGCATTGCTCAAGGCATTCATCCCAAAAAGGAAAATTCTCAGATGAAGCAAGAATGGACAAAATAGGAAAAATCACATTTAACTTTCTTGAAATTTTCATGTCTATGAGGAACAGGACACAGAAGTACTTTACGCTGGCAAAAGATAGATCGCATTACAGTCCGATTCCAGGCATGATATGAGTAATAGTAAATGGAAGTAGCGCAGAATCAAGAGAGACGGCAGCGAATCATTCGCACAGTCAGAACATATTGCAGGAAAGAGCAGCTGTCGCTCAAGATGCAGTGGACGCGCCCGCCATCTATGCTATAAAAGTCGAAGCTCGTAGTTACTAAAGAGAACATAGCTGTCTCAAGTGTTACTCCGCATCCACCAAAACCCATGTTATGGAAAAGTCCATCGGGGTCTTGTTCCCGCAAAAATGGGGATAGGAAAACGAGATTGACCATCTTATCTCCAGAGTTACCGCAATTTTGCGGGAAGCCTGACCGACTGTGCTAACCAAATCTGACATTTCCAGGGAGGCGAAAGTCTTCGTTTTCATGAGCGATTTCATGAGCCCCACCATCACATATGGCCATGAACAGCGGGCAACGACCGAAAAAATCAGGTCGCCGATTAAAGCCGCGGAAATTAGATTCTCGCGTCGGGTGGCCGGTGTTACGCAAAGTGAGAGGATGCAGAAAGCCGCCATCCGTGAGAACCGCAAGGTCGAGCAGCTACTCCTTCGGATCGAGCGACACCAAGCTCGGCGGATTGGACACGTCTGCTGCAAAGCTCCCGAGAGACTCCTCAAATGAGTTTCCCAGTCCGAAAGGGACGACCGAAAACCAATTGACAGGCACAATGAAGAACGACTACATTGCTAAGCTTTGTCACCCGAGACTCGGCATTCCACCGGGAGAGTTCGAGAACGTTTCCCCGGAACGAAACTAGAAGATATTCCTCCGCCTCCTCGAACCGCGACCCCCATTAGTTTGGATGGGAGGCAATAAATACGAACGAATGAATGCGTTAGGTGTCTCTTTTCCGCCTCTCACCGATGGGCGTGTTGGGCTTGTAGTGAATGAAGTCCTTTCCTCTGTCGGTGAAAAGGTGGATCATGTGGCCTCCGGGATTTATCTTGTTGGCTGTCGTCACCTGCACCAACAGGTCCATCATGGGCGTCCTAGACACCGTCGAAGAGAAACAAGATCGACAATGCACTCCACTCCGGTAACAAAATCCCGCTTCTCTGTGAGATTCTCGGAGACTCACTTTCGTTCGATGGTGACGCGGACTTCTTTGCCAGAAGGAAGGACCACGTTGAGGTCCATGCAACCTTCCAGCATGTCAGGCGGAGTGTCCTCCGTGACCTCGAAGGTCCCGTTCGAGGTCAACTTCCTCAGGGGCGGTGCCAGCATCGCCTTCCGCATCTTCTCCTTCCTGAAAGAGACACAATCTCGAGTCAGCCTCGAATCGTCCTTCGCAGTTTAATTTTTCTTCCTTTCCGTGAAGAAATACAAGGTGGTCCATTTAAAAGTTAATGAAGCATTATAATTCATTGTATTCCGTGCTCGACAATACTGTCGGACAATAGTAACATTAAAAATTCGCACCTACACAATTGAACAAATGACTGGCATTGCGGCTAGTGACCTTCAACGTGACCTAAACACACGAACAAGTCCACTACGGAGCAAGTATGTGCTGAAGTTCACATGTTTTAAAACCCGATTAACTTTTGACTGGACCACCCTGTAGTTCCAGACTAGAAATTTTTTTCAACGGGCTGTCGAAAAATGCAATCTTGCCGAAAATTGCTTGAAACAAGTCAGAATTAATTTTGGCTAGGCGTACTCATACGTCTTCTCTTAACACTTTCGCTGTCGAATAAGTCAAAGGACGTATTCACGACGACATTAGACAATGGTACAGGCAGTCCTACTGGCTGTGAATTTGTAAAGGAAGGATGTCTTGGTGAGTCTTGCTCCAGTAAGAAAATAAAAAAGAAAAATTAAAAGGATCCAGGATAATTATCGAGGCGCCGGGTGTCGGGGGAATTTTCAAAATCAAACAAAGGAATAACTTATGGGGGTTAAAGTTTATGAAACATGGCTCTCTATATGTAGCAGATAGATACAAATTATCCGTGCGCTATAAAGAGCTGAAGAGTTCAATTCCATTTGCATCTATTAGTGCACTTCATATTCATGGAAAGGAAAGCTTAATGTGCATGAAAACAAGCCAGCCATTGCTATCGTGGGAAGACGGAACCTTCAAGGTTTCCCTACATTTCGCTAAATCCAAGGTCACCTTAAGTGCATTGGTGCATAACGTAGCGTTTTCACCTTGTGTCCTTTCTCTTCCCATACCTTGAAACAGATAATAATAAATATAAAAAAAGCCAGCTTAGCTCTGGCTACTGAATCCGGTGAATCCGGCCGCGTGACGAAGGGAACACGAATTCGGGCGTCGGATCCCCATTGTGATGAAATATCTCAAAATCCGTTCATGCCCTACTTAGTCCCCACCTTTCTCCTCCAGGTAATATTTGTTTGCATTTCAGAGAACCTAGACGCACTATCTATGGCTTTCACTCATGAAATCTGTGTGCATACAGCATGCGACTTGTCCTGCAAAACGTACGACCAGCTTACTCCAGGGGAGGAAAACCGCACAACTAGGACTGGGGAGCGGGGCAGTATCATTAACCCTTTCAGTGCCACGCGGCTGATCCATAGACTTGATTGACGATACATCGTTTCCGAGGCACTAAAAGGGTTAATGATTAAGACGCCGTTGGCTCCTGTTTGAGTGGCCATTATTATACTTTACAACATCTTAGAGGATAAAAAAAATAATAATCTAAAGGAAGGAAAAGACATGCAGTAAAAACCACAGAATATGCTAAAAGGAGAAGAGAGACAAAAGCTCTAATGTATGTCCTTCAAGAAACCAAGGGTAGCTGATCTGAAGGGAAAAATCGATGAAGCGACAAGGACGGCTTTCCAATGGGGGCGTAAATATGGGGGAGCTTTACCATTTCGTGAGGCATCATTCGCACAGATGCCACGCAGTAATGTGATATGCTGCTCATCTCTCGCTTTCCAGGTCAAGAAAGAAGAAGGAAAAAAAAAACAAAGTGGGTTTACTAAGCACTACATCACGAAACCAAGCCCAGATTACCCAGTCCGGGAAGACGGTTGCGGTCCTCTTCACGAGACTGCAAACATTCGCTTCACGACTTCGATGATTTACTCAGAATGGCTCCATGCTTGAATCATTTCCAGAGAACCTAACGGATTCGGCGGTATTTACTTTGTTGTGACATGGACATCGATTGCCTAAGGCTGTGAATTTGGGCAAGGGGAAAAACAATCCCAAGGGTGATTTAACTTTCATCACGGATGAAAGCAAAAAACAACAATATTCCATATCGTGGGTGAAAAACGATCGATCAAGGATCGATTTCCGTCTGACCGACCCCCCGTCAAATTCACAGTTGATCGATCCTAGTGGAGACACATCACACGTGGATTGTCCTGACCAGTCAGATAACCTCGGACATATGATGAATGGATGTGGAGTCACGTGGAAAAGGTCATCCCCTCTCTTTTTCTTTTTCCTCTTTTCCCTGTCATTATTCCCCACGTCTTTCTCTCTTATTATACCCACACGGGAAATGACCTTGGAGTGACGTTGCCCTCTGGCTCAGAGAAAGTGTTCCTGTTCGGCTTGATAGGTCATCCATTGCTGAAACTGACCCATCCATCCTCTACTCATTCACTCTAATTGATCATCGCCTCTCGGGGGAAGGTATTCGCAATAACCAGAGAGGGTTCCCACAAACTAACGAGGATCTATTTCCCTGACCTTTCCGGGTTTCCCAGATTTTCTTGAGTAATTTTCCCAACTGATGATGCAAGTTAGCAAGTTTTCTCGACTTTCAGAAAATCTTCCAAAAGTTTCCTGAATTTGATGCCCTCGTTTCAATTTCAGACTTTCCAGCATGAAGAACGCTGATGAATGAGAGTCCTCAATCGACGGACGATTCCCAGGCAAAGTTGGATGACGTTTCTCAGGCAAAGCTGGATCTCGGCCTACATCACGGGAGGAAACGGTTGGACTCCTTGCGAAATTACCCACGGAACATACCACGTCGTTATTAACGGAAAAACAAGAAGAAAAGCCTGCAGCTGTCGTGTGATGGATGATAATTTTTTCTTCACTAGGCTCTAATTGAATGTCATCCTTCCTGAGAGCGCTTCTCAAGGCTTCCAGCTGCCTGCTCGAAAGGTCGGAAGTAAATAGCCATCGACGCTTCATCATCCTCCCGAAGCGGCAATTGTAACTTCGCTTGTGAGGCAGAACGGGGGGGCCATTTGGCCATGAAAGCCGACAGAGCGTTGGGGGACAGGGGAATTTACGGGTTGATTGCTCAGTTCAATGACATAGGAAGTCACTCTCTTTTCCTTTCGTCGTGAGTCCGAAGTCCCTTACCAAAAACATGACGCTTTAGGATGATGTCCATCTATGCCCTTGGGATGAAAGTCAGACTCCAAAACAAGACTGGACATGTACATCCTGGTGGTTGTCGAGATTAGAGGCTTAGATTTACAGTGAATTTTTTTCCACTGAAGTTTCTGTCATCGCCTTCGTGAAAAGGGCAGGGGGCCAAGGGTTAAGAAAGAAGAGGGTATATTATGCCATCACGCGTCCCTCGAAGAAAAAGAATTCGCAGTTGGGTGGAAGATAAGCTATGCTAATGTGACAAATCCCTCCAGGGTGGATTATCGCAGAGCCTACGACTTAGGACCCCCACGAAGCTCCGATTGACGCGTGTCACACGACTATTTCTCTCCCAACCCACGCAGTCGCCAACACACCCAACTAATGACTTCATTCCCTCCCTTGGCACGCTTTTTCCTTCCCCCTCCTCAAAATGTACGCATTTGTCTATCACTGCATGCTCTTGAGGCATGGACTCCAGCGTCGCAATTGCAGTCGCCGTTCAAATAAAAAAAAATAAAGCCATTCCAAGAAAGAACAAGGCGAGAGAAAGCCTAGTCACTCTAAGCAACTCCAATTCAAGTCACCTTTGATTCAGGACATTCTGTGCACCATGGACGAGAGAGGACGTGTCCCCAAAGCCTTTCAAAAGCTTCCCTCACCATGACGCCATCGTCTGAATCACCTTTTCTCCTTCCCTTCTCCTCCAACACAAGTCTCTTTCCCTGTGCCAATTTTCCATTATTCTCGCCTGTCCGTACTTGTGATTCTCAAAAGCTTGGAGAAAGGAAACATGACGCTCGTTTATAATTCCGGGACAAAAGAAAACCCTTTGACGAGACCGAACTCTCAGATTGATGTCTCCGGAGACGCGTGCTGCCCAAAGAGAAACAAAACCGGGTCACGGGCCTTCTTGGCACCATTAATTGTGTGCGTGTGCAAAGCTAAACAAGGGGAAGAGAGGGCATTTAGCATTAGCATGACAAAGCGAAAAAGAACGGAAGAACAAGAGAAGAAAACCGTCACACACCAACTGACGTCCTTCCTTTTCTTCTCCCGCTTCTCAGGCATTTGTCACAGTGCACGAATCTGAATTTATCCCCATCACAAAAGAGGAATTTGTGGAACCCTCGAATTCAGCATGATCGAACATGATGTCGATTTCGATTCCAATCGTGCATTCCTTTCCGTTTAGCAGATCACGATTCCCATCACGCGGAGGAGGAAAAAAAAAAAAAGTCACCTTAAGTTCTCCTTGAAAGTCCCACGGAGCCTTACGTGCCACTTCCTAGAAATTCCTTCGCTCTCCCAAGGCCGGACAAAAGGGATGAGGGTTAAAACAAAATTCTTCTTGCCTAGGGCATAATAACTCATCTGGAAAGGAGGAAATAACTTTCCCGACCCTGAACGTCCCAAGGAAAAAATGAAGATATGAGACACCATAATAGAGACGTGATACTATGCCGAAAATATTCCTCGGGGTCATCCCAGGTCCATGCTGATGGAAAGGCACGTCATTAGTGTGGGAAAAGGCGCTAAGGAACTACTGGCATGGAAGGAGAAAGCTGACGTCCGACGGGAAGATGAAGCCAAGCTCGTCAGACGGGATTCAAGTCAAAGAACCCATCAGGAAGAGGTGAATCGCGTTTCTCCCCCTTCCTTTCCCTTCCTTTCATAAGCATTGATGTAAATGAATCAACTTCCTGATTTGATTATATGGATTGGCGTTAGGAAAAAGCTTCGCAAATCTCAAAAATGCGTTTCTCTTGCATCTGTAAAATCACAATCGATTAATAACTCCGCATCGGCTTTAATATAGTATACAGTCAGAGAAGTATCGTATAGAGAACGGCGCATGAATGAAAAAAACAACGCAGATAATAACAAAACATCGCAAATCATCCTAATTAATGTTCTGTTCTACGAATGAAGATGAACAGCATATTATATCACAGAGTCGTGTCTAGGAGAAGACCAGAAATAATGTTGCAGCGATCCATGAATGAAACACGAGCCCGGTAAGTTATTGGTCCGAATTCTTCTATCTACGATCTAAACAGCTTTCCATTCTAGCTTAGACAAAAACTGGGGGCATTAGTTATTCATGAGCAGCTAAAATCTTCATAAGTTACAGCGCATAATGAGTCTGTTAATAAGACATCAATATGATCGCGGATTGTGTATATGGACATGTTTTGTGCTGTTGTGTGTAGGCAGCATGGCACTGTTCCAGCACTGGATGAATAAAAAGCTAATTCCATTCAATTCATGTGCAAAGCAAGTCTTTACTTTCTATCTGAAGGAGACGTCAATTAGCTCTCATGCTAACTCGATGCTTCACACACACGCGCGCTCGCGTGCAATAAGTTATGATTACGAATATGACGAAATGAAAAAAGTTTCCCAGGTTGAGAACTTCTCTGAAGTGGTCTAAAGAATGCACTGACGTCTCAAGCAAACAATGACTTCGTCTTGCCAATCACTTTTTAAATATGCTGAGGTTCATCTCGACCGTGACGAAGTCCTGCATCTACTTGAATTACGGTGTGACCTTCCAAACGAAAGGCATTTTCCACAACACGTCCAGCCCACCGCTACCAAAGCCATCTGTTGCCATATGCCCCATCTGTGGTCATGTGACCCTCGAAAGCTCTAGGAACAGGAAAGAAGTTGTTCAACCTTTGGATTCCAACTCCGAGCTGAACCATCACAAACCGATTTGGACTCACTTCACTGCAGTCAATTTTCACGAGTTCCTAGCTTGGATAAGTTCAATCCTACCTTGAAGAGAGCACAAAACCTGCCGGAAATGCCCAAAATCGTCAAGTCCTGGCTGTACGAAGGGTGCGTCGAGCAATATCCCTCAGGAAAAAATAATGGCCAATAACCGGAAAGTTCCACACAAAAAAAAAACACATCGAAGTAGCAGCTCCAACTCGAGAATGGAAGTCTCTCAACTACCCACTGAGTTATGCAGCGATGCATATTCTCCAACCTACACAACTACCTTAACTCAACGCACACATGGATGGAATCCGCACAATGCAAAATTTCCACACCCGACTCCATGACTGCGCCATTCTCACAGGTACTAGTTAAAGTAAATAAAAAAAGGAAGAAAGCTATTTTTAAAAAGGTGATGTTTATTCACGGCCTACATCGAAAACGGGAGGCTGTGAGAAGACCCCAAGTAACTGTTCTTTTCGTCCCGTTACGCCTTTCGATCTGCAAGGCCATATTCAGCAGCTGCAATTCTTCCTTTCCACAATTCCATCGTGAAACGTGCAATAGTTCGCTGATCACACGGTATTCTTTCCACAAAATAAGGAAGCCCCACCCGACGGTTTGAAAAGAAGGAGCATGACGAAGGGGTTCCTCTGGTTTCTTTGACCTCATCGCCCAAGAAATATTGCTCAACCCGTGCAAAATGAATATCCCCCCGTAGAAAGAGGGACAGTGATGAAACCGCAATGTGTAACTGAGGGGAAATGAGAACGAGAATGGAGTCGAGGGAATCCCTGGGTGGGGCCCCACAAACTCCGCTTTCAACCAAGCGTGCCTCACTCTCGACCGACAATAATTATCCCCCTAATCCCTATCATATCCAGCCTCTTCCTCATCAGATGAGCGGGCTCGATATCGACTGGTTCCCCGGAGGGCGTCATAAGTAACGACGACGATGGGGAGGGGAGGAGATCATATAGAAGCCCCATGAAAAGTCTTTGCATAAGTTATACCCCTCGACGATGTCCCTCGGGGGGGATGAAAGAAAGGATTCACGCACGAATGCCCTGCATTGCGTCACAGTCACGTAGCCGGAAACTTGGCCAAAACACTGAGCGACAAACTTATTTTTAACGAGTTCTAGGCTCCCTCGGCCAGGAAATGAAGTTACGGTCCACGTTGTTGATGCTTTCGGATTCGTATCGTGGATACGTAGTCAAAGTGGTCGAGATTCGAAATCTTGACATCTACATCGAAGCCGGCATATTCGTCGCAAAGTCATGGTTCGAGTCCCTGGAAGACGCGGTGGGTAGACGCAGCACGTATCGGGATGGGAAATGGAGGGGACAGTTCTCATAATGAAGCGAGTTAGTCAGCCATGACTGCATCACATCCCATCCGTGAATCGGGTCACCTCCTTTGCCAACTCACAAAGGGGGATCCGATTGCCCACAAATCACCCCCCCCCCCCCCCCCCCCACC